CTCGAGTAATTCTTACCAAGAAGTCCAGTTTCCCACAATAGGCAAATGCATCTCTCCGCAAAAACCATTAGCAAGCATGAAAAGCTTAAATCTAAGAACTGAGGAGCAGAGTCATGCCAGTTTACCTCTGACAACACATTTAACTATTATTTAATTACAGATTAGAGAATAAATTTCCAACTGGTTTATACAACATGCTACTTTATAAAGCATAGTTTATATACTTCCATAGCTGTTTCCCACATTGCATTTAGCCAAAATCAAAAACATCCCATTAAGGCTTATCAAAATCTATGAACTCAGGTGCAGAAGTTTGTTTTAGCTAGGAAAGCTAAGAAACGTTAAGTTTTCTATGTCTGCTTCACAGTAATTTCACCTAGGGATTATTGCTGTATTTTGGGAAGAAGAATATCATTTGTAATTAAATTTATACAACTATAAATATTAATAAAATACTTGTTTTTAATTAAGCTATCAGAGAAGACTGCCTTAGAGGGCAGAAATAAGTACAATTAAACCAATGTCAGAACTAGTACCAGTTGCTCAGTGTAATGGATGTAACATTGGGATACCTAATGAGCTGTACACCATAAAAACTATCACTTTTCACCCTTAGCGTTTTATACAGAATAAATGTCTAAAAACTCAATGTCAAAGCCTTCCCTGCATTTTGGAAAAATGTATTCAGATTTGACCAGCCCTGAGCGATTTGGACAACAATGAACCAAATTCGTGCTGGTCATGTTAGATGCTCAGATGCCCTCTATAAGTGGGACAAAATACCATTACCAAATTGTGATTGTGGGACTGAAAAAGAAACTATTTAACACATAGTGACAGAGTGTCCAAACAGAGCCTATAATGGAGATTTCCCTGATTTCCTGGCTTTGACAAATGAATTAAAAACATATATTTGCAACTTAGATCTACCTTTGCAATCTTCCTGTTAATGAGTTCAGATTTTACATTCTATGAGCTCCTAAAAGACTAGGACAGCCACGTGTTATAGATGCAATTCATTTGTAAATTAAGAACTACTTGATACTGGCAGACCTGTCTTAATGGAGGGGATATGAAGAGAGTTGGAGAGCTGGAGGTGGCAAAGTATCTTGGCTAAAGGCAGTTAACAAAATAATAAAGCCCCTTTGTGTTGTAAAAACAGCTGCAACCACAAAGAAGGGGTGGGGCATTTTCACACCTCTTAAGAACAGTATCCATTATTATTCAGCTGGTGACCAGTGTGTAGCACAGTGCCTTTTCAGGCCATTTACATTTTCGTCAGCAATGCCCCACCATTGCTTTAGGGCAGTTTTATTCCCAATTTAACTGAGCTGGGAAGCAGGGAAGCATGTACAGCAAATTGGATTTGCTCTCATCTTGTTCAGGCTCAAAAGTTATGCTGTTGGTCAAGTTTTTTTAGATTATAAAAATGGAAGTGTGGATGGAATTGGAGGTGACGTTTTAACTCTCATTTGTAACAGCTAACCATGGCAGTGATGTGGGCTTTGGGAATGTTAATACAAACCAGGAAAAGAAATACACACAAAGGAATCATTAGAAGTCATACTGAAGAATAACATTAAGTACTTTTACAAGTAAGTTTCTTGTGGTTAATGGGGCTCCCTCATAGCTACATGTATCAAGGGGTAGTGTTTTAAAAGCTATAATTCATCTAAGATGTATTCAAAATCATTTTAGTCTTGGCTGATTAAAACAAGAAGAGGATAAGCAGTTCTTAGTATGAGGGGAAAAACCTGCAATTTCAAAAATCTTACCTTTATCTTCAAACTGTGTTGGCTTATTTCAATTGTTTAATACTGGTATGAAATATTAAAACAGACAGGCTAATATGTTAAAAGGGTAAAGAGGAAAGGAGTGCCCATTACAATTAAGCAAATCAAGTTTTAAATAAGATTTCATCTTCCTATTCACGCATATTATTTCCTAGGAACCGTATCCATTATTATCCCAACTTTTCCCTATTTAAACAGCAGTAATGTCAGAAGAAAACTGCCATAAACATGCTGGAAACTTCCAAAACTCAGGAAAAAAGATATGCAAACTGATATTGGCTTTCTAAGAAATTATCAGTTTCAGAATAATCCCAGTTTTATCTTGCATGACTAATTTTCACTCTGCTCTCCACTGTATTTACACTTTGAGATAAAGGAAATTACTTCATAGACAAGCATGTCTTCTGGCCTATGCCAATAAAACTGAAAGTTAAAGAGTACAAATGTAAATATTTTTCTAAGGAAGATCAACACTGAAAATTGCAAAACCCCTAATCCAGCTCACAAATATTCCTCAGGAGAAGTGTTCAGTATGTTAGTTTACCATTGATCTGACCAGATAAATGCCTGCACACAAAATACAAAAATTCTGGTTTTTGAACTATTTCCTTACAAATGTTCTAAACAAACCAAGCCTATGGAATCAACCTAGATAGACAATGAGCCAAGAGTATCTAGAAAAGTTTGTTATTACTTTTTCCTACTCTCATGGGTTCCCAGTTTATATAAAAGCACCTGATATACTGATACAACCATTCATGCTCCAAAAAGAAAAAGTGTTTAAGGTGTCAGGCTAGTTCTAGTCTCATTTTCAGCACAAAGCTAGCTGGATGACCTTGGGCCGGTCCCTCTCTTTCACCTTTGGGAAGAGGGCAATGGCAAACCACTTCTTTGTCTAGGAAATTTCTAAGTATCAATATTCACTTGAAGGCACACACATACACATACACACTGCAAAAAAGCTACAACAGAATGTGTATTCCAACTGAAGTAACCATAAAATGCAAGCATAAACAATTGCGCTATGCTGATTATATTGTATCAAAAATGTAGCATTCGCATCTGATTTTCAAATCAGAACTGAAAAGGTCATCCCACATACTTTGCATCTAGCAAAATTAATCTGCACCAGTGTATTAGAGCTCTGTGTTCAGGGAATAGCTGCCTCTGAACCCCATTTCTGCATTATTCTTTTACCGGAATAAAGAGCTATAATGAACAAATTCCCATCCAAACTTTCTATCCAAGACATTTGTGTGAGGGGGTTTTTTTTTTTTTTTGCTGTTACTGTTTTGTATAAATTGGGGTAACAACTCTTTTATTTCACAAAGAAACAGGAATGTTCTTCATTTAAAATTATATACATGTCCTCACCTCTGCAAGCAAAATGTAATTGTTATGTTTAAAAATTCATTTACATTTTGTCATCAGGGCCCTAAACAGACTTAGAATACTAAATATCACTGTCCCTCAATAGGTTTTCTCTCTTAACCGTGGAGAAAAGGGATTATATATTTTTTCTTACTAATATAGAAAGATGAGAAGAAGAAAAAACCACCTCCTTTTCTTGGTTCCTGTATTAAAAGATACAACCAATCAGCTGGCACTTCTCATCACCCACAAGGAAATCCTATCTGAGAGACGCAGCACTATTGGTCTGGGCTGAAACTTCTTGTACATGCCCTCAAATAACCCTCCCTGCTTTCTTGACGGTGTATTTTGTTAGGAGGGGGAGAAAAAAAAACACACACAGAGAAAATTCCACAAACCAGCCAACAACTGGCTCCTAATATCCACACTTTTCCCTTTTCCAGATTTTCTATTGCAGCTGTGAAAACCAGCCAACCAACCAACCCCTTCTCCCTACCCCAAGCCAGCCCCCACCACTAAAACAAATGCTGAAATTTAAATGCCAAGATTCAACTCACCAGATCCTCAAAACTTCTTCGGTGTTCCTTTCCCTGCCAATCCAATCGCCTCGGGATCAGCTAGCAAAGAGGACGGGGAAAACAGTTGGCTCACACGTGAAACAGGGTGAGAAGTGGACTCCCTCCTCTCCTCCCCTACCACCAATTAAGGTTTTTGCTAATCCAGGATATGCACAGAGGTTGCATTTACACATTTGGGTGCAGTTGCCTAGTTTCTTAAACTATGGTTTTAGTCCCATCAGCTGCCACATACCAAGCTAGGAACTGCAGCTCACAAAGGAAGGGTCGTCCTAGGAACTCTTCGGTCAAAACCAAGCCACATCTTGGCTTACTTCACAAATGGGAATGTCTTCCCCAGGGCCACCTGCGCCTGACTTTTGAATGGGGTACTCCCCATCCAAAGCAGACATCTAGGAGCCATTTCTGGTCCCAAAGGCTGAATATGCCCTTGGCTGTGCCATACGGGTCTCCTATTCATATGGAGCTTGTCCCTTGTCAAAAGGCTTTGCCCTGTGAGAACCAACACAACGGCTGTCCCGCCAACCAACCCTGGTTAAAAGCGGGGAGAAAAAACTTTATCCCATTGCTGCCTGTCCTCCTCCACCCCAAGCAATCCCCTAGCAGAATTGAGCAGGGTCTCGGTCCAGGAAATCTAGAAAAATTCCAGAATGTCCAATTGCTTTGGATTAAGCCCAACAGACGACCCCGCGTTCTTCCTGGTCTAAGCGCTCCTCTCATCCCTGTGTGCGTGTTCGCACGCACGCATCTTGTATGGAGGGAGAGAACAAGGAGATGCAGGGAAGATGCATAAACATTTTATAAAGGGAGAAAGTGGGAAGGGGGGAGAGAGAGAGAGAGAGAGAGAGAAAGGAGGCCCTTTCGTGGATGGGGACCCTCCCCATTAGGAATAAAACCTGAGTTCAGGGGTCCCGCATCAGGATGACTCCCAAGGGGATGACCTCCCATTAGCTTGCCAGGGATCCCATATCGGGACGACCCCTCCCCAGTCCTCCTTCCTTTAAAAGGAGGCAGAGGGACTCCTTGGGGGGGAGGCAGGGGGGCTCCTTGGGGGGCAGGGGGGCTCCTTGGGGGGGCCCTCCCCATTTTTTTAAGGGTCCCTTACCTGGTGCTCCTCCAGCTCGGCCACCAGCACCTGCGGGAGAGGAAAGAGACAAAGGGGTGAGGAGGAGGAGGAGGGGGCATCCGCGACCCCAGCCCCAACTGGCACCCCATTCTCTCCCCCACCCACCCCCATCCCACCCCGGACCCTTCACCTGGGCCGATTTCTTGCAGGGTCCGGACTGGAGGAAGCGGGCGATCAGGTAGTAGAGCTCTGCGGGCGAAGCAGGGCGAGAGGCGGTCAGAGCAGGCCGGCCAAGACCCCAAGAGACCCCCCAACTACCCCCCACCCACCAGCCAGCCAGCCAGCCAGCCTCCTCCTTTCCTCCCTAGCTCACCGGCTTCCAGCTGGGTCGGAGCCCCCGCCATCCTCCGTCCGCCCGGAGCCGCAGGCCCGTCAGTTGGGGCGGCGGCGGGTCCGAAGCGGGCGGCGCTTCTCTGTCTCTCTCTGTGTGTCTCTCTCGCTCTCTCTCGCTCTCCGTCTGTCTCTCTCTCTCGCTCTCTTTCACGGCCGCCGCCGGCGAGGGGGCCGAGGAGTCTGGGCGGCCGCCTTCGCCCTCCGCCGCCGCCGCGCCGCCGGCCCCATGGAGCTGCGCTGGCCGCGGGACGGGCCGCCCGGCGACGCGCTCCCACCGGCTGCGGGAGAAAGAAGCGGCGGCGGCGGCGGCGTCGTCGTCGTAGTCGTGAGGGAGAGAGCCCGGGCGAGGGGAGCCGGCGGGGCTCGGGCGGAGGAGAACTGGGCAGTTTTCGGGGAGCCTCCGGCCGCGCGGGGGCGACGAGCGGGCCTGGCGGACGAAGCCTGACGGGCGGGCGGGCAGGCCGCTCTCGGAAGAGGCGGGGAAAGAGGCCGCGGCCTGCGCCCCAGCCACGCTCGCGCCCGACCCGGCCCTGCCCAGCCCAGCCCTGCCGCGGCCTGGAGGGGAGAGGCGCCCGAGGGTGGCGGCCTCCTTCCCACAACGGCCCGGTGAGGTAGGCCCAGGGCAGGAGGAAAGCTCGAGACCCGCCCTCCATGTGGCCTCCCCCTCAGGATGATGTGGGGAGATTTCGTATTATTATTTATTATTATTATTTATTGTTATTTATTATTTTATTATTATTGTCATTATTCAAAATTTATTTATGTTATTATTTATATTATTATTATTATTGTTGTGTCTCCGTTTGCCCCCTTCCAATTTAGCCCTCCTAAAGCTGCCCCATCTGCAGGTGCTGTGGGTCCAGACAATGTGAAGTATTTTATATACTGTACTTGTAAAAACGTTATATAAGTACTGTATAAACACACACACACACACACATGTATATACACAAACACATATACAGTAGCTAGGGATATAGGGATGAATATCTCCCACTGGACTGCAGCAGCGTTGAGGTGCTAGTAAGTAAGCAAATAAATGAATGAATGAATAAACATATTGTATATGTACACATACATATAGATAGGGATATAGTGATTGATATCTCCCAGTGGACTACAGCAGCGTACAAGTGCAAACAAGTAAATAAACAAACAAGCATGCATATAGATAGGGATATAGTGATGGATATATCCCACTGGACTGCTGCAGCATAGACGTGCTAGTAAATAAATAAATAAATAATAACTAAAATAATAATCAAATAACAGCCTGGAATTACTGGGAATTGAAGGCATATAAGTGTACCAATAAAGCAAAATATTTATAGCTCAAGATTGAAATGAAGAGTCCTGGGGAACATCATCAGTATTAGAAGGGAGTGCGGTTTTCTCTCTGCTTGTATTCAATATAAATAGTCCTGATTGCCCCTTGTATATAAGCAGAAAGCAAACCCCACACCCTTCTACTACTGATAATGTTACCTAGTTTGAGTACTGAAATGTTAATAAGAAAACAACCAAGCTTAGAGAACATGAAGGACCCTTCATATAAATGTAATTTAAAAAAAAAACATATACTGTATTTTTCTGTGTGCATTTCTATGCTACTCCAATCCAGAAAGCTGGGGAGGGGGAGATGATTATTATCCTGCCTTTTTAATATGTATATATATATAGCTCAAGGTGGTGAACATGCCAAATATTCCTGCCTTCTGCTTTCCTCACAATAACAACAAAAGCCCCGTGAGATGGGTTGGACTGAGAAAAAGTATACAAGAAGACACATTTCTGTGTACAGTTATATATTCTGTATACATCTCAAAGTTTGTGTGCTATCATGCGGACACCCAAAATATTACACGTACAAGGAACTTGCCTAGTACACACTCTTTAGAAAATCCCCTACCTATCTCCTGGTATAGGAAGCAGTAAAATGTCCCAGAAAAAAAGCCGAAGCAAACCATTCAATTTTGGTGCCCAAATGCTTTGGAGAATTATCACCCCAATAGAGGTCAACACGAGTTTGTGTTTATTTTTCCTGGGGCTGCACCAAACGGAGGTTGCTATGAGTGAAATTATTCATTGGGCCATTATTTTGTGCTTTAGATAGGCACCGAACAAGAACCTCCTGTGTTCTTGTGGGTCCTTTCTGTAAAAAAGGTGGAGGACTTGCCAATCTCTGGGTTAAGGTTAGTAACTTTCCTGGGCATAACTTTGATTGTTTGTGTCGGCCTTCCTAAACCAGATAGGAATCAAAACCCTATGAACCAATTCTACTTCATTGTAAAGCTATATTGACAGAACTTTGCAAATCTGAAAATACAGTTATCTCCCTCCCCTCCCCTATCTCCTTTACAGCTCAAGAGACTAGGGAAGGTCTCCTTGCCCTGCCAGTTATCCTACTCTAGGCTACTGTAAGAGATGACAGCTAGCGCAATCTTTTATCTGATTGTTCCCTTGGCTGTATCTCTTTGCTTTGTCTTCCATGGCCATTCCCATACACCATTACAAAGGGGAATTGAAATTTATAAACTAATTATCTAGCTATGGGCTATGTTGTCTCTTATCTGACCATTCCACTCTTGTCTTAGTCTCCCAAGGTCTTTCTCATAGTTCTAGGTTGAGAAATAGATAGGAATCACAACCAGACGATTTAATTCTACTTTACTGTAAAGCTACATTGACTGAATCTTGCCATGTGGGGGTTTCCTTAGATCTAGGTTGGTTCTGAAGGAGAGAAGCAACTTGGAACTAAGGAGAAATTTCCTGACGGTTGAGAACAATTAATCAGTGGAACGTCTCACTTCCAGAGGTTGTGGGTGCTCCAACTCTGGAGGTTTTTAAGAAGAGGTTAGACAACCATTTGGCTGAAATGGTATAGGCTCTTCTGCTGGAGCAGGGGGTTGGACTAGAAGACCTTCAAGGTCCCTAATAGCTGTTATTCTGTTGTACACCATTACAATTTGCAAGCAAAGAAAAACCTAGCTTACTTACAGGGCCCGCTCTTCCTTCTTGCACCTAGCTGTCACACCCATTCAGACAGGATGGGCGTGCTCTGTATCCTGGCAGTTAAGGAGTGTGATTGTCAAGGCCCAGAATGGGAGCCCTTTCTGCCATGGCATCCACCCTCGAGAATGTTCTCCCTCCAGAGATCTGATTGGCTCCATCCTTGTTGGGCTTCCCTAAGGCCCTGAAGTCGTGACTCTCTGAGCAGGCCTGGATCCCACATATGGGACAAAACCCATTGCTCAGCTATGTTGAATGTCAGAATTGTAGCTTTATGATTTTTTTCCCCCACCTGTTCTCATTTTTATATATTACTATATCAATCTGAACAGAGCTAGAAAGGACGTTGGAGGTTATTATTATTGTGTTTTTATTGTTGTTAATAGTCTAAGATGCCCAGAGTCAGGTGTGTGAGATAGACAGTTGTAGAAATCCTTTAAAATAAATAAGAACATATTTATTTATTGGGGGAAATAGTAAGGGAACATTGGTTATCTGCCAATGACATAATTTGGAAGAAATTATTTTCAAAATATTTTGAGACTTTGCTGTTGGAACTGAACTATCAGAAAATATTATAATTGCGTATAAACAAATAAACAGCAGTTACTTACTTTCAACTCCTGAAGTAGTTGCTGTGGATAATTGATCTTTTTATTCTAGAAACAGAGGAGTGGGGAGGAAATGTTCACTTTGAATTTAGTGACATTTTGTAGAGGGGGAGTATCCTAAGAAGGTTTTCATTTATAATAGCACAAAAATGCTGAAAGTTATGTTGAATTGAAATATAGATTATCAATGGCCTATAAATCACTTCTGTACAAGACAACATTGCCATTTTTTTTCATTTATTAAATTTGTATGCTGCCCATCTCGCTATGAAGCAACTCTGGCCAGCATTGGTATACAAAGCGAATTTATAGCCACTTTTTTGTCACACGGAAAATAAATTTATATTGATGAAGAATGTATAAATGATTACTCTTTTGGGATGCCAAAAGGACAGTGGATTACCATCTGAAAACAAAAGGCATGAAGACCTGTAGAGTTCGTTGCAGCGTCCGTGTTGTTCTGTGAACATTCTTTTGATCAGGGTTTACCAAAATGTTGGTTTGGAAAGTTGAAGCTATTGTTCAGTCAGTTCCTTCCAGATTGTTAAAAATACAATTAATAAAACTAAAATAGGTCATATGCTTGGAAAGGAAGTGTTTCTTGACCTTGGCAGCTGTGTGAACTACAACTCTCAGAATGCCCCAGCCAGCCATGCTGAGAGTTAAAAGTCCACGCAGCTTAAAATTGCCAAGGTTGAGAAACACTGCCTCAAGATAGTGTTTTATATTATATTATAATACTGTATAATATCAGTGTCCCTCTTTTAGGGAGATAGATGGTTCAGAAATGAGAAAAATTATATATGTATATATGTGTATATGTTTTGTGTGTGTGTCGGGAGAATCTCATCTGCCATCATCAGGCTTCTGTATTGTGTTCGTCTGTGAGTCAGGCTTTCGCAGCCGTTTCTGTTTTAAATTTGGTGTTAGCCTCGTGCTTTGATAGAATGGTTTTTTCTTCATCCTGATTGGTTGGGAGTCTTGGTCTGTGTTTATTGATCTTGGAGTTTGCTGTGTTCTGTTTGATTGATGTTTCTAATATCTTCTGTCTGTTTTGTAGCTTTTTTTTGGTCTTCATTGGCTGGCAACATTGTGTTTTGTGTATTGGGGGCTTTTAGCACTGCTTGGCTTCAGGTGAATGTCCGGCTATCGTTTATTAGGAAGCTAGGTTTTATCTGGGTGGCTGGTTGGGGTGTGTTTGGGCTGGAGGTATCAGGGGGGATCTGTTTGTGCCCAGGTGTTTGCCCAATACACGAACCTGATGATGGCAGATGAGATTCTGCCGAAATGTCGCTACAGCTTTAAAAGCACAACTATAAAGACATGGGAAAATA